GCGAACTAAAACTGCTGTAAAAGGTCTGTTTAAGCCTGCTGTATGAAATGTTTGAACGTAGACATGTCCATATTTGTGCATTACCATCTAAATGGGGTAGGTTTTTATTTAAAATCTAAATATAATGCCCATGCATCTACCCCACTGCCGTAACACTTTGAAAATAATGTAAAAGTAGTATGTTTGCATAATATTTTTCTTAAAAAGCTAACAAATTTTACCCAATTTGACCTCTGTTTTATATCGTATATTTATATTTGGCAACATACATTTTGTTTTTCCTCATTTCGATATACTACATGATTTTTGTTATTTTCACTTGTTTGTACACCTGAATTATCAGTAATTATCAGTATAATCAGTGACATATTTTTTGCAGGAAGATGTATAAAATTGCGTACATAAAATTGAAATTCATCAATCAGTATGTTATACTTTTAATACTTAAGTAGGCTACGTTAAAAATTCAAGTACTTTTGTACTTTTACTCAAGTGAATTTGAAAAGGAGTACTTAATACTTTTACTGGAGTAATATTTTATTAGGGTATATGTACTTTTACTCATGTACTTGATTTGTGTACTTCGTCCACCTCTGAAAATACTTATTTTGAAAGATGATTTATAGTTTGTATGTGAAGGAGAATCAGGTACCTGAACAGGATGTAGTTTAGTCTTGGTGCTTCCAATGCCTTCGACGGTCACCACCGCCACACCATGCAGAGAACAAATCGGCTGTAGACATGCATTTACCGACCAGTGACTGAAGAACGGGTTGAAGATTATAAAACCACATTTATTGATGACTTTTTAATTCAAATGGTCTAGAGTGAAAGTTATGATAAAAAAAGAAGAAATGTAGCAAAATCTGTATGGTTTGATGTAGAAAAACACTGGTAACAAACATTAGGTTTTTTTTCACATCTTTTTTTTAGCTACACCATTATTTTCAGAGCATTGTCAAATGGAAATTACGATACATTTCCTTCGCAGGTAAGCCAGTAACATCTCTTCTGGATCAGCATTCTTTTCCACTATCTTTACATAAAAACAACAAAAACTGACCACCATTGCTCAAATTTTGTGATAACTATCAAGCCAAAGATCATTCAGTGTGTGCCACGTGACATGATTGGATTTTGGAGACCAACATATCTATCACACGTGTGAAGAGGAACATTAAGAGAGAGGAAACTCAGACCCCACCTGTTGGTCCAAAACTGATTTATTTAACTAATCCGCTGAAATGGACTGTACTAAGTGCCCAAAGCAGTGGTGAACAGGGAGAGGATTCATTTGTAATCTACTTACAGTTTACTAGTGGTCGGTACATAACTAAAAAATAAATAAATCATAAAAAAATTAATAAAACAACTGCCATAGCTAATCAGCAGAAAAATACATTACTTTAGATGAAAGCTTCTTATTCTAAATAACCAACAGATGAAATCAGACACAACTACTGTATAATTCTAAAATATTATGAGGAAAAATGTAATAATATAGTATTTCACAGTGCTACTCTGCTTATTAATTGATAAAATGGCTTTGTTACTGAAAAACAACATACATTTCAAATGTAGCAATGAAACCACCTTGCTACTTAGAAAAACAATAGCTAATAGCTTGTATCTTAACTACTTGCAACAATGCTTCTGCATAGTGCTCATTCAAATGTACAGTTACCAGTCAAAGAGGAGCAGAAGTTAAACATTTTCAAAACAAAAAAAAGGTTGATTATAAAATTAGATTTGACAGAAGTTGTGTATATTGCTTTGTAGTCCAGATGTTATATTAGCTTTGTATTCCAGATTATTATTATTTTTTTCTTTATGCAAAATAAAAATAGCTTTTAATGTGCCTATTATGATATTAGCTACATTGATAAGATGTCCTTAGTCTCTGAAAAATTGTTCTCGAAACTGTTCTGGCATTGCACGATTGAGTTTATTCACACTGCCAAATCATTCCTGTGTGTTTTTAGATGTCTTTTTTCTTGGCAAAGTCTGGCCATGTTTGCACCTTGTGGTGAACTCTCTGTATTTGTTCTCGTGAAGTCTTCTCTTGATTGTAGACTTTGACAGTGACACGTCTACCTCCTGGAGAGTGTTCTTCTGATAAATGTTTCTTGTTAATATTTTATCATTGTTCTCACCCATCTTTGTTCTCAATACTGATGTAGTCGCTCTGAGTTGATCTGGCCATTTGGACTAACAGGCGAGGTCAGAGTTTCCTCCCTTTAGTTACACACATTAGTCTCTGAACACTAAGACCCTACACATAATCCCCCAGCAGACCCACCTACTCAGGTGAATATAAAATCTTGACAGAATAGCTCACAGACATCAAACAGCAGCAAACTCAGCACAGGAGCATCCTGAACATCTCTACACACTGAGACGACATGGACACAAGAGCCTCCCTCTCCATTCTGCTGCTGCTGTTTGGCATCTCACAGACATCTCCTCTCATGGTAAGATCCGGTCTAGTCTCTCCCTAAACAATGAAGGTTCCTCAAATGAGACATTTTAAACATCTCTGTTTCTGCCTCCAGGAGGAAAGGCTTGAAGGAGTGTTTGTGTCAGAGCCTGAACCTCTGGACATCACTACAAGGATTTTGGAGTCCAACAATGGTCAGGCACTTTGTAGATTTCTTGTAAATTTATCAGTGTGTTTCAGAAAATAGTGGTCAAATGTGGTCAATATGTATAAATATGGTCAGTTATTTTATCAGTATGTTTCTCTTTAAATGCAGGATCTTCTGAAGTCTTGATTGAAGGAGATCTGGTGTTTCCCAAAACCAGAAATGCTCTCAACTGCTTTAACAACAACTGTTTCTGGAAGAAAAACTCTTAACAACATAGTGGAGATCCCTTACATAGTGAGCGGTGAATTCTGTGAGTGAATCTCCTTCAGTCATTGAACATATCTATGATTCATGTAGACCTCATTTTAAATCTGTGGCCCCTTTTGTTTACAGCATATAATAACAAATTAGTTATCTCAAATGCCATGTCCACTTTTCACTCCAAAACCTGCATCCGCTTTGTGGCCAGATCAACTCAGAGCGACTACATCAGTATTGAGAACAAAGATGGGTGAGAACAATGATAAAATATTAACAAGAAACATTTATCAGTCCTTATTTAAATAAATAAATAATAATTAACCTCTTTACTTCCTCTCTCCTCTCAGGTGCTACTCTTCTCTTGGCAGAACTGGTGGCAAGCAGGTGGTCTCCCTCAACAGGCAAGGCTGTGTGTATCACGGCATCGTTCAGCATGAGCTCAATCATGCCCTGGGCTTCTACCACGAGCAAACCAGGAGCGATCGTGATGAGTATGTCAAGATCAACTGGGAGAACATGTCTCCTGATATGGCCTACAACTTCCAGAAACAAAACACCAACAACCAAAAGACTCCATACGACTACGGCTCCATCATGCACTATGGAAGAACAGCCTTCTCCATCCAGCCCGGGCTGGAAACCATCACTCCCATTCCTGATGAGACGGTGGAAATTGGACAGAGGCAGGGAATGTCCAACACCGACATCTTGAGGATCAACAAGCTGTATGGATGTTGAAGATGACACATTTCACACAATCAATGCACAATATCAGTAATATGTAGATGAAAATTGGTGTAAGGCTATATTTTTGGCTTTTGATGGTGTTGAATTTCTTAAATGTGTGTTGGGAAAAATAAAGCTTAACTGCAAAACAAACTCATATTTTTTCATAATTCAGTCAATTTTGAGAAAATGCTTGATTGCAGCATTGAAGTGCTGTATTATTGAGGAGAAATTCATTTTTTAGTGCAAGTTCTGTCAGGAAGACTCTAATGCAATGTCATTCATTATAACAGGCTGGCCAATCACTGCTGGACACCTGGAGTATATAAGTACTGAACTCTCTGTTTCATTTTTGCAGTTGATGATGCTGATGTTCCCTATACTCAGTCAGGGAATCTGTCCTTTAAAAACTTTAGCCCAACATTCAGAATTACTGACATACAGTTTAAAGGGGTCCTATTATGCTCTTTTACAATGTCTTGATTTTGTTTTGGGGGTGTACTAGAACAGGCTCTCATACTAGGTTGTTCGAAAAACACATTATTTTTCACATATTTTACATTATTACAACACATCTCTCCCCAGTCTGGCATGAACAGCTCAAATATTTCCTGTATCAAATGAAGGCCCGCCTTCTGAAATATGAAATGTGCTGTGATTGGTTAGCTGGGCCAGTGTGTGTTATGATTGGCAGCACTCGGCGCCTGGTCTGGAAATGTCATGCCCTTTACGCCGAGGCGGAGTGGTGGCTGTGCTCGTGGGTTTCGCATATGGATCCGGTGGAGGGAATGTAGACGGGCGAGTCCCTATCTTCTTCCTTAACCACCAGATCCAGCGCCCGCTCTAGGGGGTTCGGAAGCCCGCGCTGCGGTTCTTTCCCCCCGGTGAGAGGGCTCGACGCTCCGCCTGTCTTCCTCCGAGGAGGTTGATGAGGGCGTCGATGAGATCGCCAGTTGCACAAGCATCAGTTACACAAGCATATTATGCCTAATATTATAATGAGCAGCTTTACTGTGGAGCGGAGCTGTTTTTGGCCATACTTCCGGCATCCCTGCCAGCGCTTGCTTCACTCCTAGAAGCTGACGCCAGTTTCACCGCACGTGCTTTTATACTTCCTGGTCACTACGTCACCCCGCCCATGACGTCTCGCCCATTCATTGGACTGATTACACATGTGATTCAGAGCGTGGTCATGCTGGAGGCGTTCCCGTAGCATTTCGACACAGCGTCTCGTTCCCTTCACATTTTTATTCATTCATGTACTACACAGCACAACTGTAAAAAAAAATAAATAAATAAAAATTTCTGCCTCAGCATCCCGTCTTTGTTCTGGGTCAGGCCAGAGAATCTCGTCCACATCACAGGCTATATTGGCCCTCTCCAGGCAGCGAGGGTAAAATCCTCTTGCATGCCTGATCCACCCCTGGCATGCATCTACTGATATGTCTAGGCAGGCTTCTTCCATGGCCTGGTGGTGAGCACGGATATAAGGTTCTCGGTCATACACTTTCCACCGCCATGGCAAAAAAAACTCCTCTATCGGGTTTAGAAAGGGAGAGTATGCAGGCAGAAAGATGTTAGAAAACCTTAGATTATTGGTAAACCAGTCACGAACCAGAGCAGCACGATGGAAACTGACATTATCCCAAACAACAATGTAACGAGGCTGCTCTGGCTGTGCTGGTTCCCTGAGGTCCAGCTGGAACATATGCTCTCTTAGACCGTCAAGGAAAGAAAGGAGGAGCATAGTGTTATAGGGTCCTAGAATGGCATGACGGTAGCCCTCGTTGGCTGATGGCTGCACACATAGTGACATTCCCGCCACGCTGACCAGAGACATTTACAATAGCCCGATGGCCAATTATGTTCCTCCCCCTTCTCCTTCTTCTTCACCACCTCCACCTCCTCCTCCTCCTCCTCCTCTTCCTCTTCCTCTTCCTCTTCGACCTATTCCTTCATTTATCTGTGGATCCATTGTTCCAAAGCTCAGTGAACTGATTCGGGCCCTTTTATCTATTTATTGGAGGATCTGATTGATGTGTGCGGTTCTTTCCCCCCGGTGAGAGGGCTCGACGCTCCGCCTGTCTTCCTCCGAGGAGGTTGATGAGGGCGTCGATGAGATCGCCAGTTGCACAAGCATCAGTTACACAAGCATATTATGCCTAATATTATAATGAGCAGCTTTACTGTGGAGCGGAGCTGTTTTTGGCCATACTTCCGGCATCCCTGCCAGCGCTTGCTTCACTCCTAGAAGCTGACGCCAGTTTCACCGCACGTGCTTTTATACTTCCTGGTCACTACGTCACCCCGCCCATGACGTCTCGCCCATTCATTGGACTGATTACACATGTGATTCAGAGCGTGGTCATGCTGGAGGCGTTCCCGTAGCATTTCGACACAGCGTCTCGTTCCCTTCACATTTTTATTCATTCATGTACTACACAGCACAACTGTAAAAAAAAATAAATAAATAAAAATTTCTGCCTCAGCATCCCGTCTTTGTTCTGGGTCAGGCCAGAGAATCTCGTCCACATCACAGGCTATATTGGCCCTCTCCAGGCAGCGAGGGTAAAATCCTCTTGCATGCCTGATCCACCCCTGGCATGCATCTACTGATATGTCTAGGCAGGGTTCTTCCATGGCCTGGTGGTGAGCACTGATATAAGGTTCTCGGTCATACACTTTCCACAGCCATGGCAAAAAAAACTCCTCTATCGGGTTTAGAAAGGGAGAGTATGCAGGCAGAAAGATGTTAGAAAACCTTAGATTATTGGTAAACCAGTCACGAACCAGAGCAGCACGATGGAAACTGACATTATCCCAAACAACAATGTAACGAGGCTGCTCTGGCTGTGCTGGTTCCCTGAGGTCCAGCTGGAACATATGCTCTCTTAGACCGTCAAGGAAAGAAAGGAGGAGCATAGTGTTATAGGGTCCTAGAATGGCATGACGGTAGCCCTCGTTGGCTGATGGCTGCACACATAGTGACATTCCCGCCACGCTGACCAGAGACATTTACAATAGCCCGATGGCCAATTATGTTCCTCCCCCTTCTCCTTCTTCTTCACCACCTCCACCTCCTCCTCCTCCTCCTCCTCTTCCTCTTCCTCTTCCTCTTCGACCTATTCCTTCATTAAAGGAGGAGCATAGTGTTATAGGGTCCTAGAATGGCATGACGGTAGCCCTCGTTGGCTGATGGCTGCACACATAGTGACATTCCCGCCACGCTGACCAGAGACATTTACAATAGCCCGATGGCCAATTATGTTCCTCCCCCTTCTCCTTCTTCTTCACCACCTCCACCTCCTCCTCCTCCTCCTCCTCTTCCTCTTCCTCTTCCTCTTCGACCTATTCCTTCATTTATCTGTGGATCCATTGTTCCAAAGCTCAGTGAACTGATTCGGGCCCTTTTATCTATTTATTGGAGGATCTGATTGATGTGTGTTCAATTTTGACTCTTAGTGTTTCCACCTGGGTAATTGTTTGCTAATTGAGCTCAAGCTGTGCTGAGTTATTGAATGCTAGTGCTTTCTAAATGACCACATGGTGTAAGCACTGAGAAATATAGGGATTTGTGTGTAGAGTTTTGCAGTAACAGTTCACCAAATCTGACTTATGTGTTAAAGCAGGGAAATAGTGTTTATAGTTCAGCAAAATGGGTGTGCTTTCTGAAAATCTGAAAAATGGTTTTGAAATTATAGTTCAAAAGCCTGGTTATAGTGTTTTAGCAATCGAGAAAAACTGTAATACAACAATACAACAAATGATCGACAAAGTAGTCTGTGTGACATCAGTGGTTCAACTGTAAAGTTACGAAGCTGTGAGAATACTTTTTTGCGCAAAGAAAATAAAAATAACGACTTTATTCCACATTTTTGTCTCTACTGCGTCACTTTGGACACACGTTCACGACAGTATCTGAACTGTCGGAATAAAGTCATTATTTTTGTTTTCTTTGCTCAAAAAAGTATGCTCGTAGCTTCGTAACTTTACAGTTGAACCACTGATGTCACACAGACTACTTTGTCGATCCCCTGGGCTTCTACCACGAGCAAACCAGGAGCGATCGTGATGAGTATGTCAAGATCAACTGGGAGAACATGTCTCCTGATATGGCCTACAACTTCCAGAAACAAAACACCAACAACCAAAAGACTCCATACGACTACGGCTCCATCATGCACTATGGAAGAACAGCCTTCTCCATCCAGCCCGGGCTGGAAACCATCACTCCCATTCCTGATGAGACGGTGGAAATTGGACAGAGGCAGGGAATGTCCAACACCGACATCTTGAGGATCAACAAGCTGTATGGATGTTGAAGATGACACATTTCACACAATCAATGCACAATATCAGTAATATGTAGATGAAAATTGGTGTAAGGCTATATTTTTGGCTTTTGATGGTGTTGAATTTCTTAAATGTGTGTTGGGAAAAATAAAGCTTAACTGCAAAACAAACTCATATTTTTTCATAATTCAGTCAATTTTGAGAAAATGCTTGATTGCAGCATTGAAGTGCTGTATTATTGAGGAGAAATTCATTTTTTAGTGCAAGTTCTGTCAGGAAGACTCTAATGCAATGTCATTCATTATAACAGGCTGGCCAATCACTGCTGGACACCTGGAGTATATAAGTACTGAACTCTCTGTTTCATTTTTGCAGTTGATGATGCTGATGTTCCCTATACTCAGTCAGGGAATCTGTCCTTTAAAAACTTTAGCCCAACATTCAGAATTACTGACATACAGTTTAAAGGGGTCCTATTATGCTCTTTTACAATGTCTTGATTTTGTTTTGGGGGTGTACTAGAACAGGCTCTCATACTAGGTTGTTCGAAAAACACATTATTTTTCACATATTTTACATTATTACAACACATCTCTCCCCAGTCTGGCATGAACAGCTCAAATATTTCCTGTATCAAATGAAGGCCCGCCTTCTGAAATATGAAATGTGCTGTGATTGGTTAGCTGGGCCAGTGTGTGTTATGATTGGCAGCACTCGGCGCCTGGTCTGGAAATGTCATGCCCTTTACGCCGAGGCGGAGTGGTGGCTGTGCTCGTGGGTTTCGCATATGGATCCGGTGGAGGGAATGTAGACGGGCGAGTCCCTATCTTCTTCCTTAACCACCAGATCCAGCGCCCGCTCTAGGGGGTTCGGAAGCCCGCGCTGCGGTTCTTTCCCCCCGGTGAGAGGGCTCGACGCTCCGCCTGTCTTCCTCCGAGGAGGTTGATGAGGGCGTCGATGAGATCGCCAGTTGCACAAGCATCAGTTACACAAGCATATTATGCCTAATATTATAATGAGCAGCTTTACTGTGGAGCGGAGCTGTTTTTGGCCATACTTCCGGCATCCCTGCCAGCGCTTGCTTCACTCCTAGAAGCTGACGCCAGTTTCACCGCACGTGCTTTTATACTTCCTGGTCACTACGTCACCCCGCCCATGACGTCTCGCCCATTCATTGGACTGATTACACATGTGATTCAGAGCGTGGTCATGCTGGAGGCGTTCCCGTAGCATTTCGACACAGCGTCTCGTTCCCTTCACATTTTTATTCATTCATGTACTACACAGCACAACTGTAAAAAAAAATAAATAAATAAAAATTTCTGCCTCAGCATCCCGTCTTTGTTCTGGGTCAGGCCAGAGAATCTCGTCCACATCACAGGCTATATTGGCCCTCTCCAGGCAGCGAGGGTAAAATCCTCTTGCATGCCTGATCCACCCCTGGCATGCATCTACTGATATGTCTAGGCAGGCTTCTTCCATGGCCTGGTGGTGAGCACGGATATAAGGTTCTCGGTCATACACTTTCCACCGCCATGGCAAAAAAAACTCCTCTATCGGGTTTAGAAAGGGAGAGTATGCAGGCAGAAAGATGTTAGAAAACCTTAGATTATTGGTAAACCAGTCACGAACCAGAGCAGCACGATGGAAACTGACATTATCCCAAACAACAATGTAACGAGGCTGCTCTGGCTGTGCTGGTTCCCTGAGGTCCAGCTGGAACATATGCTCTCTTAGACCGTCAAGGAAAGAAAGGAGGAGCATAGTGTTATAGGGTCCTAGAATGGCATGACGGTAGCCCTCGTTGGCTGATGGCTGCACACATAGTGACATTCCCGCCACGCTGACCAGAGACATTTACAATAGCCCGATGGCCAATTATGTTCCTCCCCCTTCTCCTTCTTCTTCACCACCTCCACCTCCTCCTCCTCCTCCTCCTCTTCCTCTTCCTCTTCCTCTTCGACCTATTCCTTCATTTATCTGTGGATCCATTGTTCCAAAGCTCAGTGAACTGATTCGGGCCCTTTTATCTATTTATTGGAGGATCTGATTGATGTGTGTTCAATTTTGACTCTTAGTGTTTCCACCTGGGTAATTGTTTGCTAATTGAGCTCAAGCTGTGCTGAGTTATTGAATGCTAGTGCTTTCTAAATGACCACATGGTGTAAGCACTGAGAAATATAGGGATTTGTGTGTAGAGTTTTGCAGTAACAGTTCACCAAATCTGACTTATGTGTTAAAGCAGGGAAATAGTGTTTATAGTTCAGCAAAATGGGTGTGCTTTCTGAAAAATGGCGTTATGGTTTTGAAATTATAGTTCAAAAGCCTGGTTATAGTGTTTTAGCAATCGAGAAAAACTGTAATACAACAAATAAAGGAAAGATCGACAAAGTAGTCTGTGTGACATCAGTGGTTCAACTGTAAAGTTACGAAGCTGTGAGAATACTTTTTTGCGCAAAGAAAATAAAAATAACGACTTTATTCCACATTTTTGTCTCTACTGCGTCACTTTGGACACACGTTCACGACAGTATCTGAACTGTCGGAATAAAGTCATTATTTTTGTTTTCTTTTCTCAAAAAAGTATGCTCGTAGCTTCGTAACTTTACAGTTGAACCACTGATGTCACACAGACTACTTTGTCGATCATCTTAGTACTTTTCTGGACCTTGAATGTGAGAGAGCCCTCAGATTTCATCATAAATATCTTTAAATTGTGTTCCAAAGATCAACAAAGGTCTTACAGATTTGGAACAACACGAGGGTGAGTAATTAATGACAGAATTTTCATTTTTGGGTGAACTAACCCTTTAAGACCCTGCCATCATCCAGCAAACCCTACATAAATATTATAAAATGCATAAGAGCAATAAGAACACAATAAAAACAGTGATGGAAGACGACTTCAAGGTCTCTCCAACACAATGTTTAATAATGAAAAAATACACAATTTGCATGCATTACTTTCTCTGGTATTTACCATTAAAACTGTAACAGAAACCTACAATATTAGCAGTTAGACTTTTATTGAAAAAAAAAATCAGTATTTTCTTGTAGTTACTTTTTTTTAAAATAATGAACAATGAGATAAAAAGATGACTAATTTTTGTATAGTAGGCCTGCATTGTTCTGTTATCTTCTCTATACTTTTGAGTTGCAAAAATTAAGAACAAAAAAATGCATGTATACAAATATGGCTTCAAGCTTCCCATATATGAATTAATAATGTAGGATATCAGACCGAATCAGACAATCTAAGATTTGGTCAAAACCGAGTTGAGGCACGAGGAGTCACAAAAATTCCACAGAGGCCCAAGACAACAGGATGTCATAAATCAGACCCTAGCCTCTCTGAAGCAAGCCTAAACCTAAACCCCTGTCACAGAACAGTTTTCAACATTAACACAAAAGAACACATTGACAAGTCCAAGGAGATTGTCAAATTTTGGGGCAAGTTATCAAGAATAATGGTCAAAAGAGATGACCGCATGACTATCACACGATAGTAACTACAGTCACAAGCTCCTCGTAAATTGACTTCCCCCACTTCACGACAAGAACAGACAGACTAAAATTCCTTACAGACATTTTAATCTCTGGTCTCCTTACGTCCACAGAATGCCAAAGAAACTTCATTTCCATGTGAAGATGCATCTAAAAGACACTAAAAGGACTCGAGCAACTAACCATTGCTATATATCTAACCCCATATCATGTATCTAACCCACATGTTTAACCATCATGTCTTAATCATTTATTGTGTATGTATTGTTAATAACTATTGAAGAGCTTAAGGGGTCATATTCATGCTTGGTATGTGTGAGTTTGAATTTTCATGCTTGAAACGTTTCTCCCAGTCAATTCTTGGTCAAATGTATCATATCCTCGTGATAGAAATCATGTCCAAAATCATACTCTACCAGAGCGGGAAAAACGCAGGTCATGTGAATGATGAGATAACAGTTATCTGATTGATGTGTGTTCAATTTTGACTCTTAGTGTTTCCACCTGGGTAATTGTTTGCTAATTGAGCTCAAGCTGTGCTGAGTTATTGAATGCTAGTGCTTTCTAAATGACCACATGGTGTAAGCACTGAGAAATATAGGGATTTGTGTGTAGAGTTTTGCAGTAACAGTTCACCAAATCTGACTTATGTGTTAAAGCAGGGAAATAGTGTTTATAGTTCAGCAAAATGGGTGTGCTTTCTGAAAAATGGCGTTATGGTTTTGAAATTTTAGTTCAAAAGCCTGGTTATTGTGTTTTAGCAATCGAGAAAAACTGTAAAGTAAAAAACTGTAATACAACAAATAAAGGAAAGATCGACAAAGTAGTCTGTGTGACATCAGTGGTTCAACTGTAAAGTTACGAAGCTGTGAGAATACTTTTTTGCGCAAAGAAAATAAAAATAACGACTTTATTCCACATTTTTGTCTCTACTGCGTCACTCTGGACACACGTTCACGACAGTATCTGAACTGTCGGAATAAAGTCATTATTTTTGTTTTCTTTGCTCAAAAAAGTATGCTCGTAGCTTCGTAACTTTACAGTTGAACCACTGATGTCACACAGACTACTTTGTCGATCATCTTAGTACTTTTCTGGACCTTGAATGTGAGAGAGCCCTCAGATTTCATCATAAATATCTTTAAATTGTGTTCCAAAGATCAACAAAGGTCTTACAGATTTGGAACAACACGAGGGTGAGTAATTAATGACAGAATTTTCATTTTTGGGTGAACTAACCCTTTAAGACCCTGCCATCATCCAGCAAACCCTACATAAATATTATAAAATGCATAAGAGCAATAAGAACACAATAAAAACAGTGATGGAAGACGACTTCAAGGTCTCTCCAACACAATGTTTAATAATGAAAAAATACACAATTTGCATGCATTACTTTCTCTGGTATTTACCATTAAAACTGTAACAGAAACCTACAATATTAGCAGTTAGACTTTTATTGAAAAAAAAAATCAGTATTTTCTTGTAGTTACTTTTTTTTAAAATAATGAACAATGAGATAAAA